GGTGTTGTGGGATACTTCATTCTTTTTGGGATGCGACGCCGCTTGACTTTGATGTTTCACGGCTTTGATCGCGCTGGGTAAACGGGTGCTAGAATCGCACTGCATTTTCGGTGTCGTTGTGGGAGAAGGAGCTGCGGTGGGTAAAACCTCGTTGCAGAGTCCCACGTTTTTCCTCTCGCCGCTGCGGTCCTCTAAATCCTTTCGTCTTGTCCGGGGCTCTACATTTTCGTAGAACGATCAGTCTCCAGGGACGCAGAACAACTGCCTGAGGTCTGTCTACAGCCAGACACACTGCCGGCTGGGCTACCCAGTCAGACGCTCTACCTACTGAGCTACCCTGGTAATACCGCCCTTCGACCCCATTGCACACGGTGTGGAGCAGTGTCGAAAATTGAGCACACCGTCCTTCGACCCCATTGCACATGGTGTGTAGCAGTGTCGAAACATAAGCACGCACTCTCCCGAAGTCGTGAACGATTTGAATCCAGGGACCGGTACGAGGGTAGGAGCTTCTTGTTGATTTTGGGCCTTTCACGAACAGTACCACAACTGTTGTACCAACAGACACGAACCAACTCAGGTGCTCTCGCGCATCACAGTCGAGCCTGGTCTTTCTGTGGCGGGTGCGGGATTCCAACCCGGTGAGAGCCGTTTATCCCAGCCGCCTGCACTGCAGCGGACAAACTCGCCATTCTGTGAATGGGTGGGAGTGGCGTGGAGCTCCCCGGTCGCATCACCACATCTTTACTGCAAGATGAAGGGCGAGGTATCACGTTCATCCAAATAAATTCAAGTACGAATGCAATTCTTTGAAGAAAATTTTATATGTATTGAATAATAAAAACTCTCCAGGTGAGGAGACGGTGTCTCCTCGAGAAAAAATCTGCCGGGTTGAGGCTCCCAGGGATGTGCTCGAATCTGGCCTTGTAGATGGCTCTGATACGAGCCGCGTAAACCTCTAAGTCATACCTGGGTTCCTCGGCACGATTCAATGCTTGCCAGTAGCGCCTTTGG